GGCTGGGGATATAACTCAGTTGCATAAGCACCTGCCTGGCAAGCACAAGGTCCTGAGTTTGGCTCCGGTACCAAAAAAAAAAAAAAGAACCAAACAAATAAACCATAACTTCAGGCAGAGGCAGGTGTGGTGGCACACATGTGTAACCCCAGCACTCAGGAGGCTGAGGCAGGAGGACTGCCATGAGTTTGAGGCCAGCCTGAACTACATAATGAGACCCTGTCTCAAAACCAAACAAACAGCCGGGTGGGGGGGGGGGGGGGGTGGCGCACACCTGTAATCCCAGCATGGGAGGCTGAGGCAGGAGGATCATTGTGAGTTTGAGACCAGCCTGAGCTACAAAGTGAGCTCAAGGCCAGCCTGAACTGCATGGCAAGACCCTGTCTCAAAAAGACCAAAACAAACAAACAAATAACCACAGGCAAAATCCACAGAAGAAAACAAGCAAGTCTGCTGACAGAGGGGCACCCAGGACACAGGAGGTCTCAGGCTGCTGCATGACCTCGGGTGACCTTCTTCGTTGTCCTGGGACTCAGTTTCCCTGTGTGAAAAGCGAGATGACTAAGAAGGATCAGTGCTTTTCAAACTCCGCCTGGCTCTGGGGACCTTTCCTCTGGAAAACTGTAAACGGGCGTGTGTGCATCAGTAGGAGTCCAGGCCTAGTTCCCCACAAGCTCACAACCCCATACCAGCCCCACCCTGCAATTCCGGAAGGGCCATCTGCAGCACCCACCAGCTGGAAGCACTCTGCTCGCAAGCCACGTGGGCCTCAGTCCTCTACATCTTTATCTTTTTTTGTTGGGGTAGGTGGTTGAGACAGGGTTTCACTATGTAGTTCAGGCTGGCCTGGAACTCACTGTGGCCCAGGTTGGTCTTGAACTCGTGGTAATCCTCCTGCCTCAGCTTCCTGAGTGCTAGGATTACAGCAAAGAGTTCAGAATTGTGTTTTGAAGTTGAAAATTCAGGTTAGGTGGCTGAACTGGCATCACTCAACCCACGAAGAGGCCAAAAATCCAGAAATGCACTGCCATGAGAATACTGGGATCTTCTAAACACAAATGCACAACTTGGTGTGTGATGGAAGTACTCAATTTTGTTCTCAGTCAAGTCCCAGGGAGCTGGTTCCACAATCACTGTCCTGTTCTCCCCTCTCCTCACCGTATCTTGGTTGTGGGGGTGCTGGGACATTCACCCGAGCTCAGCTACTTCTTACTGTATCTATACACAGAAAGGATCTTAAACATTATCCCCATGTCTAAAATCTACCCTAACTCCTGTTTAAAACAGCAATAATGCATCCAACTTTACAATTATTGTCTAACCTCTAGTGTATGCTTCTTTTGCTCCAAAGCTTGTAATTTCTTTTTTTTTTTTTTTTTTTTTATGGGAACCAAGTATTACTGTATTACAAAGAGATACCATATGAATTACACAGAGGAAAAAGACAAACATATTTACCTGTTCTTAAATATTAACTTCCCTGGATGGAATGCCAAAATACACAGCTCATAAACAGCCTTTAAGACCGGGATGCTGACAGAGTCCAAAAGAAGAGCAAAGGCATTAGACTCAGCCTCTGCTAACGTGCACGGCCCGGCTGCCTGCCAGGCAGGGCCTTTCATCATCAAAGCCACATTGTGTGGCCGCCCAGGGCTGCGTGCTCGCTCTTCCCCAGCACTGTTTGTGGGCAGAACTCGGGTCTGAGGAAAGGGCTGAGATTTCCTACATCCGTGTCTCCATGTCTAAACACGGCTTCAGAGAGGCCTTTGTCCTGTCCTGGAAGCCACCTTGGGCGCCGTCCAGGTCTAAGCTCCCTCAGGCCCTGAAATGACCTGCAGGGCTCCCCAGGCTCACCAGCCCACCACAGACCCCTGGTCTGTGCCCCCAGAAGCCCTCTGCGGCCTTGTTTCCGAGGGAGGGGCTGGCCAAGGTCAGCTGACTCTCCCTTTGTGTCCTGTGCATCCTTTGCCAGGGAGAACATGCCCAATGGGCAGGGAGGTGGAGGGTTGGGCATGACTGAAGGGTCCAGGGGAGCATCAGAGTGGCCTGCAGGCTGGGCGTGGTGGCGTACGCCTGTAATCCCAGCACTCAGGAGGCTGAGGCAGGAAGATCATTGCAAGTCCAAGGCCAGCCTGAGCTACAAAGTGAGCTCAAGGCCAGCCTGAACTGCAAAGTGAGACCCTGTCTCAAAAAGAACAAAAAAAAAAAGAGTGGCCTGCGGGTATCAGAGCCAGCGAGGGAGCACGTCAGAGGAGCAGGTCAGAGGAGCAGGCCCAGTGCCTAGCACCCTACAGCAGCTGTTGGGGGCCTGTGGCACCTGTGCACGTCCAAGTGACTCTCTCCTTCCACAGGACACTTCCTGAAGTTGCCCACACCAGCCCTGTGCTACGGAAGGGGGCTTGGGTAAGCGGGCCCCTCGCGGTGTGGTCAGCTCCAGCCCTAAGGCCACTCGGCCGGTCTCTGAGTGACACGGTGGTGACGCGGTTACCCGGCTCATTCCGCAGGCAGGGGCTTACTGAATACCTGCCCTGCGGGAACAGACATCCTAGGAGGAGGACCACAGGACGCCAGCGGTGCTGAGCAGCGTGGGAAAACAGAGCCAGGAAGGCAGCCGCAGCGGGAGGAAGGCCAGGGCCGCCTCCCGAGGGTGTGCGCAGGGCAGAGGGCACAGCCAGGCTGGCCAGCTGGGGGCCAGGATGTGGCAGGGATGCATCCTGGAGATCATGGGCACTCAAGCATTTTTTTAATTTTTATTTTTTAAGACAGTGTCACCATACAGCCTAGGCTGGCCTTGAACTCACTGTGTAGCCAAAGTTGGCCTCAAACTCATGGCAATCGACCTTCCTCGGCCTCCTGAGCCCTGGAGTTTCAGGCCTGTACTGCCATGCCCCACTTCAGTAAGGACTTCGGCTTCTTGCTGGCTCTGAGGAGAAGACAACAGGCTCTGTCCTAGGCTTAACATGACCCGACGCATATTCTGGAAGGCTTCTTCCAGGGGCGGCATTAAGAGTGGACAGGGGCCAGGCGGATGGGAACAGCCAGCAAGGGGCCCAGCGGGGGCGACAGTGGCCCAGACTAGGGCTGTGTGAGGGGCGAGGCCGACTGTCCCAGGTTATTCCAGGGGCAGAGCCGGCAGGACTTGCTGGGGATATGAGACTGAACAGAGAAAAAGAAGCTGAAGTCCAATCCTAGGGTTTGGAGTTTTTTGTGTTTTGCTAAATCCACAAAGGATGAAGATGATTTTTTGAGTTAAGAAGGCTTCAAAGCACGCGCGCACACACACACACACACACACACACACACACGTGTGCATGCACGTGCGTGTTTGGGGGAGAGTCAGGCGGGCAGAGGAATGGCACTTTGGTTTAGGATACATCAGATTTCTGCAGCCCGGCAGAAACCACGCTATGACACCAGAATGCAGATGGTCTAAATGTCAGGAGCCTGGAGTGGAGCAGGCACCAAGGGCATGAGGCCGAGGCTGGACCGACTCACTCAGGAGGGAGGTCAGAGGGCATCTGAGGACTCACCAGGCTCTGCCAGGGAGGCTGGGGAGGAGGGGAAGGAGGCCGCACACAGAGGCCGAGAAGCAGCAGCGCAGCGAGGAAGGCAGGAGCGGCTGCCAGCCAGAGCCGAGGGCGGCAGAGAAGAAGCAGAGGTCAGCCATGTCAGGGCGCTGGCAGGAAGAGACAGGTAGAGCTTCAGAAGCAGCCACGGGGCTTAAAATATGGAGGTAAAAGGGGCCTGGTGGTGCACACCTGCAATTCCAGCACTCAGGAGGCTGAGGCAGGATTACCATGAGTTTAAAGCCAGCCTGGGCTATAAGCATAGGCAGACCCTGTCTCAAAAAACAAAACAAAAATATCTTAAAAAAAAACTACTCTTTTTTGCTAAAATAAGCCTTTCTCTCCCTCTCTCTTTTTTTTTTTTTTTTTTGTGTCTTTTTGAGACAGAGTCTCACTATGCAGTCTAGGCTGGCCTTGAGCTCACTTGGTAGAGTAGGCTGGTCTGGAACTTGCAATGAGCCTCCTGCCTCAGTCTCCTCAGTGCTGGGATTACAGGCGTGTGCCACCACACCTGGTGTCTTTCTCTTTATTAGTGGATTCACGGATATTTGTTGCATGTTAACAGCAACCTAATACATATACCTTAACTACAGCCATCACTGAACTCATCATGAAAGCCTACAATCTTCTTGGTACCTGATGAGTTCCCCTTCCAAATACATATTTGAATTTACTTTTTATTTTGCTGTGTTTTTTGAGACAGGGTCTCGATTTGTGGTTCAGGCTGGCCTTGAACTCACTTTGTCAACCAGGCTGGCTTTGAACTCACGGCGATCCTCTTGCCTCAGCCTCCTGAGTGCTGGGATTACAGGTGTGCATCACCATCCCTGGCCCTGAACTTCTTAATAAAAATAAGAACAACACATAAAAACAACACCAACATTCCCTGAGTTAAACCAAACCCCAAAGATTCTAGTTGCCACTTTGTGGATGACTTTGGCTCTCAGAGAGGTTAAGAGACAAGTGTCAAGTCACACAGCCCATAGGGGCAGATCTGAACTTCCAGTCCAGGCTTGCAGACCCGTGGATTAGGTGGGAATGTGAAGAAGGGCCTGACAGCTAGAAGTGTCAGCACCTGCGGCGGGGAACGGTCATCAGGCCTCAGTAACACAGCTGCTGGCCTCCCAGACAGCGGCTCCACGCAGAGCGCTCTGGTACTACTACCTGCGGCACCTAACGGGCACGCTCCAGTGTCTTCCGAAGTTTCCAAAGAAAACAGAAAACAATTCTCCTCGGCCGGCACCAGCTGGAGATAAGAAAGGCGCCAGATGCAAAGCCCTCCTCCGGAAGCGCTGCTCCGGCTTTGAAGTGTAGGCCCGGCCAGCCTGGGCCCCTTCTGCGAGAGTCCGGAGGCAGACAGAAGGGGCAGAAGCCACCTTGGCAGGCTGCGCGGCGCCAGTGCCTCAACGTTGGTTTGTTTGGATGGGCTCCTACCTGGCTCCGCAACAGGATGGGTCTCCAGCGAGCTCAGGCTCTCACTGCGCGGCCCGGGGCTGGTGCTGCGCAGCACATAGTCGCGGACGTCGCTGGCCGAGGGCAGGTCCAGGGAGCAACTGTCCCCCAGCGTGCTGTCCACAGCGGCCGCCTGAGTGGCCATCGCCCTGCGGGGGAGGAGAGAGCGACTCAGCAAAGGAACCCCCAGCGATGGATGGTGCCTCGGCAAACAGAAACCTCACTCCGGGATACCCACGGCTGGTCTTGACCTAGACCCGCCACTCCCGCCCCACCCCCGTCAGCAGAGGAAGGGTTCTAGGCAGAAAGAAACCACAACAACATCAGCAGGAACACAGGCTCCACATCCGAAAATGGGGATGACCAATCACAGAACCTTCTGGAGTGACTGCGGAGTAGAACTACTGTACTCTAGAGCTAGGAGGGTATTTAATGCACTGGGCATGGGGGCCCACATTTGGAATCCCAGCACTCAGGAGCTGAGGCAGGAAGACTGTCCCAGTTGTGAGACCAGCCTGGGCTACATAGTGAGGTCAAGACCAGCCTGAACTGCATAGCGAGACCCTGTCTCAAAAACACAAAAAACAAAAAAGATAGATCCTTTAAGATCTCAAAGCCATGTGTTTGAATGAGAGAACCAATTTCAAAATCAGACACCCAAGCTTAAGTATGACATGGTTTCTCTTATATGAGAAACCCAAATATAAACAGAGAGCAAAATAAAAGCAAGCAGGAACAAGGAGACACCGGTGTTTTGCCAAGGGGGAGACCAAGGAGGCGGGGAGCGAGGGAGGGCCAGGAGACCAGGGGACCGACAAGGATGCCAAGGGCTGCCGTCATTCTGCGCCGAGAACAGAACAACGAAATTTTAAAAAGAAGCAATTTCAGAGTGATGTGAGCAGCGTGACAACAGGGCAGCTCCATTTATCAAGCCTTGCTCTGCGTGAGGCTCGCCACTGCGGTGAAGGTTTGCCCGCAGTGACACCCCGGGAGCGGGGACCCTGTTGGTGCCCCTGTTTACAGCCGGACCCAGGCCCAGAGAGAGGAGTGGGCTGCAGCCACAGAGAAGGCAGCCGGGCTCTGTCCACGGCTCAGCACGCAGTCCGCGCCGCCCCACGGGCAGGGCTGGAAGAAGGAAGCAGATCCGCACTGGGTGAGCAGGTCCCTCCTGCTCGAGGACCCGCGGTCACAAGCAGCGTGGCCGGGGACAGGCAGATGCATGTACATTCAGACAGCTGAGCCCGCAGTGAGGAGAGGGCGGGCAAGGACCCAGGCCCCGGGCTGCCAGGACGAAGCCTCTGCGGCAGGCACTGCTCAGCACGGCTCCTCCTCCTCCTCACCTAAGACCTCCGCAGGCTGCTCTCCCGGAAGGAGGGGACACACAGGTCACTGGAGGAAACTGCCACGTCCTGTCTGAGCACACCAGGAAGTGCCAGGAACCCTTCAGCGACAGGGTGGCCTCCACGGAGAAGCCCTTCCAGGGGTGCCGAGGATGGTGGCTGCAGGCGCTGGACTGAAACAAAGCCTCCCAAGGCCCAGGCAAGACAGAACTCTGCCCACACAGTGTGAGCGTCTCTTTCCTCCATATGCGCCGCTGGGCCCCAGGGAACGTGACGGGCGAGGCTGCAGAGGGAGCCCTTCTCCACGTGCCCCCAAAACAGGGGCGGGGGAGCAAGGACAGTGCAGGGGCTTTGCCTGTGTGGCTCAGCTTTCTCCTCTAGAAATGCTTCCTTCCCACTTCAACACTGCTTTCGGCTAAACAAGAAATTTGGTGCATTCCCAGCGCCTGGGCAGCTGAGGCAGAAGAATTGCAAGTTCAAGCCCAGCTTGGTAAATTAGTGACTCAGGGAGACCCAGTCTCAAAGAATAAAAAGATACAGTGATATGGTGAAGTTGTGGAGCAACTCCTCAGCCTGTGTGAGGCCCTGGGTTCAAAACCCAGTACCAGACTAGATGTGTTGGCACACACCTGTAGTACCAGCACTTGGGAGGCTGAGGCAGGAGGATCGCTGTGAATTCAAGATCAGCCTGGGTTGCATAGTGAGCTCAAGGCCAGCCTGAACTACATAGTGAAATCCTGTCTCAAAAACAACAACAACAACAAAAAAAAAAAACCCAAAAGACTAGTACCACAAAATAAAGAAATCTGCTTAAACCTGCAGTGGGGTGGGAGTATCATGGAGGAGGGGGCATAGGCCAGGAACCCCAGCACTCTAGGAGGCCGAGGCAGGAGACCTACAAGTTTGAGTACAGCCCTGGAAATTCAGCAACTTAGTGAGACCTCATTTCAAAATAGAAAATAAAAAAAGGTTTGAGATGCAGCTCAGTTTAGTCCCCACTACCACAAAAATTAAAATATAAAATTCTTAAGAAGTGGCTCAGCTGGGCCTGGTGGCGCACGCCTGTAATCCCAGCATTTGGGAGACTGAGGCACGAGGATTGTTGTGAGTTTGAGACCAGCCTGGGATACAAAGTGAGTTCAAGGCCAGCCTGAACTGCATAGTGAGACCTGTCTCAAAAAGACCAAAAACAAAACACACACACAAAAACTGGCTCACTTCCTCAGCTCCACCATGGTTCTGTGGAAGTCTCCAACTCTGCCCTTGGAAAGAGGCCCTTCTCCAACCTCCGACCTCCTCCTCTCACTCCGGCCCTCTCCCGGCTCCTCAGGCCTCCCCTGAGCGCTCCCTGGCCTTTCCTCATGGCTGCGGCTGTTAGTTTCCACTCAGACCCAACTCTCCTCTGGTCAGCTGCCACTGCACGCACTGGTCCTCCCTCCCTTGCGGTTGGCCATGCAAAACTGCATGCAAAACTGCCAAGCACGGTGGCACACAACTGCAATCCCAACACCCAGGAAGCTGAGGCAGGAGGATCACCAGTCTGGGCTCTGCAGTGAGTTCAAGACCAGCTTCAGCTATATACATCGGACCCTGTCTCAACCTCCCCTAAATGACAGTAAAGTCAGAACTAGGAAAACATACAAGACAATTACAGACAGAGATTATGAACATAGGCACAAATATGCTTGACAGGCAGCTGAGATGAAAATTAAAACACCACTGAGATTCCATAAAGGCCGCGCACGGGTAGCGCACGCCTGTAATCCCAGCACTTGGGAGGCTGAGGCAGGAAGATTGCTGCCAGTTTGAGAAGCTCAAGGCCAGCCTGAACATAGAGAGACCCTGTCTCAAAAAGACAAAAAAATAAATAAAATGAAATAAACAGCATATAAAAGTATAACACAGCCGGGTGTGGTGGCGCACACCTGAGGAGGATGAGGCAGGAGGATCGCCACAAGTTCGAGGGCAGCCTGGGCTACATAGTCAGACCTGTCTCAAAAAAAGCAAAAACAAAAACAACTTACAACACACTGTATAATTAAGGTTGCACAACACTGGGTATATAACTCAGGGGCATAGTGCCTGCCTGGCAAGCACGAGGTCATGAGTTCGATTCCCAGTACAAAAAAAAACACTGTACAGTACTGGCATAAGGCCAGACAGACAGAGTAGCAGCTGAACCTGCAAGTTCAAAAGTAAAATCACACTGATAGGTAATTAATAAAGCACTTTGGAGAACAGTTCAGCAGCACCTCAACTGATTAAACATAGAATTTATACTTTGACCTGGCCATTCCACTCTTGGGGGTGTGCTAAAGAGAAAAAACACGTCCACATAATACCTGTACACGGTGTTCTTCACAGCTTTCCTCAGAGTAGCCAAAAAAACCAAAACGTGTCGTGATGTGTGCGCTGTGGAGCACTGTTCAGCAGGAAGCAATGGAACCCCGAGCGCTACAGGCCGGGCTTTGACGACAGCCCCTTGTCACGGTGACCACTGAAAGCTACCAAGCCTCATCACACAGGGAGTGGTGGCGCACGCCTGTAACCCCAGCACCCTGGATCCTGTGAGTTCAAGGCCAGCCTGAATACACAGTATGACCCTGCCTCAAACACCCCCCCAAAAAAGCCAGCCACACACTGTTGAAATGCATTTTAAACAATGTCCAAATAAGAAAATCTACAGATACAGAAAGCAAGCAGGGATTGCCTGAGCTTTGGGGGAGGAACAGCCAATGGAGAGAGATCCTGCTGGGGACTGGAACTCAGCACATTCCTGTGGGTACAACTGTTTTTTTGTGGTGAACAGAACATTCTAAAATTAGGTTGTGCTGGGTGTGGTGGTCCACGCCTGTAAACCCAGCACTCAGGAGGCTGAGGCACGAGGATTGTTGTGAGTTTGAGACCAGCCTGGGCTCCAAAGTGAGCTGAAGGCTAGCCTGACCTACACAGTGAAACTATGTCTCAAAAAAGCCAATAAATAAGTAAAATAAAATAAGATTAGGTTGTGATGACAGATGCCCAATTCTGTGAAAGTACCGAAGTTTCCACTTTAGGCAAATTCTATACTATCTGAAAAGAAATTTCTCAAGAAAGCTATTTTTAGTTTTGTTTTTTTTTTAATTTTAAAATTGTATTTATTTTTCTGAGACAGGATCTACTGGCCTCGAACCTGTGGCAATCCTCCTGCCTTAGCCTCCCAAGTGCTGGGTTTACAGGTGTGTGCCACCATTCCCCGCTAAGAAAGCTGTTTAAAAGGAAAAAGGAGAAAAGCTATTTAAAAAAAAAAAAAAAAAAAAGGGGAAGAACAGATACTAATCCAGATGGACGGCCTGTAAATTCGAGATTCCCCCAACTGTAGGCTACAGTGGCCTCCTGTTGGGGCAGTGGGATGCATGGCCCGGAGAAGACTATAATTTGCGAGGAAAAACCGCCGTTAAGTGCCCAACCGCCAAAGGACAACCTAATATACTTCTTCGATCCCCGTACCCTACTTCCCCGCTCCCTTCCCAAAGTATTTGGCAAGAAGGGATGGAAAAAAACGGCCGACAAAGGCGTCCCAGCACACAAGTCCACTCACCACCCGGCAACAGCAAGAGGCCGGAACCGGAAGCGATAGCGCCATCTTCGTTATGGGAAAAACAAAGTTTGAAAAGAAGCCACGAGAACCATTCTTACTGTGGTCAGCCAAAGGCAAAGGAAAGCAGTGGCGGCCATCTTAACTGAGGGCATTTGCCCTGCCTAAGAAACTCACTGCCCAAGGCTAGTTAGAGCAGTTTCTAGAGGAAGCTTAAAGGTACGTGTGCTTGGTAGACACCGAGAGAACAGGAAAAATATTTTTAAAAAATGCTTAAAGTGAAATATGTAACTGGAAGCCAGGGATTTAGCTCAGTGGCACAGCGCCTGCTTGGCAAACATGAAGTCCTGAGTTCGACTCCCAATAGGGAGAGCAGGGTGAGGGGGCATACCCCTGTAATCCCAGCACTTTGAAAGGCTGAGGCAGAAGCATCACAAGTCCAAGCACTTGCTGACTTAGCGACTTAGTGAAACCCTGTCTCAAAATAAAAGAGAGCAGGGGATGTAGCTCAGTGAGAAAGCCCTCAGTTCAACTTTCACTACCCACCCCCAGACAGAGAGACAGAGAGAGAGATTTATAAATAGGATAAAAACATTTCTATATATGTAGGTATTCCAGTAGCAGTATAGAGCTGGTAGAAAAGGGAATGTCAAAAAAAGAAAATTACAGCAAATTTAGTGTAAGATCTAATAGATGTTCTGAAGAGCTAAACAGAGGGGGTTGGCTTTACAGGAAAGAAAGAAGAAATATACAATTAAAAATGATTATGTATGCCAGACATGGTGGTAAATGCCTGTAATCCCAGCACTTGGGAGGCTGAGGCAGGAGGATTGTTGAAAGTTTAAGACTAGCCTAGGCTATGCACTGAGTTCAAGGGCAGCCTAAACTACGTAGCAAGACTCTGTCTTTAAATGAATGAATGAATGAATGAATGAATAAATAAATAAATAAATAAATAAATAAGGGTTCAGTGTCAAGACAGTGACTCAGGTTGACTGAAACACCTGGTTTTGGGAAAACTGGCCTCCTCCGGGGTTCATTTGTGTGGCCCTTGGTGTGAGTGACTACCTTCTGGTTTGGGCTGCTGCAGGAGGTTGGTCCAAAACAACACCCTCCCATAAACTGTTTAACTAAACGGAGGGTCCTTCCTCCACTGTATTGTCTTCTCCAATGCATCCTGTCTGCGCAAAGCCTCCTGTCCATGCCGAAATGTGAGTAAGACCCCATAAATTAGGAGTCTTGCTGTTACGGGGAGTATTTTAAATAACATTACATGGGGTTGGCCAACTACTGTCAAACAGAGAGTCTTAGGGGAGTTATCTCTGGGTTCTTGGTCTTCTGAAAAAGAATTGAGCAGGATACTCAAAAGGAGTAAGAACAATACGATTTATTAAAATCAACACAAGCAAAAAACAGAAAGCAGCAACAGCACACTGCTCAGCGTGGAAGCAGGCCGAGGAGAAGAGTTCACAGCCACACTAGAGCAGGTGCTGGGTCTCTCACTGGGATTACGGGAGGACCCATGATGCGGCTGACAGGAGTCATGGTCCAGTGGTGGGGAGGAGAGTTTTTGAACATTAAATTTTTAAGAAAGCCAGGCATGGTGGTGCACACCTGTAATCCCAGCACTTGGGAGGCTGAGGCAGGAGGGTGGTTGTGAGTTCAAGACCAGCCTGGGCTACAAAGTGAGCTCAAGTCCAGCGTGAACTGCATAGTGAGACCCTGTCTCAAAAAGACAAAAAAAAAAAAATTTTTTTTTTAAGAAATTGTTATTGGTATATGTAAGGTTTGAATCGGACCTGACTCTCCCAGGCCCAACCTGCTTGCCAGCAGAGACACTACTCTCAGTAGGGAACTCAGCTCAGCACCACAGCTGTCATGGGCAAACACAGGATGTATAAAGGAGGTAAGATAGGACAAGGGATTTTGAAGGTCCTGGACATCTGAGGACGTCTGCAGACACCCAAAAATTTACACTGGATGCTTCAAGGACTCTGCCCACGGAAGTGTAAGACAGCTGGAAAACTTTAACCATAGATGTTTATTAAAATTTTCCTTTCTAATAT